ATTACTCATTGAGATGAGGTACAACTTTCATATATGGACAAAATTATAATTTAAGTGACTTTTCTATTATTTACGACTTTAAAAAAATTAGAAATTTACATATTAAATCTTTCATTATTAAACTCGGTAGGAAATCATAATATTTAGTAATTTAAAATTGGTTAATAGTTTACAATATATAGGTTACACGGATTAAATACAACATTTGTGCCATACTCATAAAATCAAGATGGTTTCAATGCAAAACAATTAAATATAAATTTTAAAAATTCTTATTTTAATTACACAAAATAATTAACCCGTGTTCAGTTAAGCACTCAAATATTAAATAGCACATTTAATCGAACTAAACAGTACACATCTAAGTCTATATGGTTAAAGTGCGGAAATTTGTACTTATGTTGTTTGACTTTTTATCATTTAAAAGTATATTTCATATTGAATAAAAATATAATTTAAATATTTGTGTATTTAGGACTTTAAAACTAATTAAAATTTTGCTTATTAATTTTTTTATTTGAACGATGTAAGGAGTTGAAATATTTAGGACTTTAATATAGATTATATATAATAAAAAATAAAATGTCTAAAATGTGTATACACACTCAATGGATTCAATAACATTTAGGTGAATATTTCTTTATTGAGTAGCTATATATGATCAATATTCATCATTTTTAGATGTTTTTACTTTATTTTATAATTTAAATATAATTTAAAAATAATATTTTCCTACAAAAAATTACTCATCGAGATGAAAAACACGCGCAACGCGCATACACTAAATCTAGTATTGTTAAATATGTATAAGTGTGTATAATTTTGTATAATTATGTATATACCAGTGTATAAGAATGTAAAAAGGCGAAACTTAATTTTTGTATGTTTTCTTACCTTTTCTCGAGCTGGGCAACCTCCTTTATTTGTTTTTAACTTATTTTCTGTTTTGGGTTAAACTCTATTAGTAGCACCATTGAAGGAAAAAAATAAAAAAAATAAAAATCTAGCAATGATGTGTGTATGAGAAGGAATTACCATCTGTTATATCGTTGACAAGGCAAAAAGCTACCAAATTTATTTTTATTTGTTTGTTTATATTTGAACGTATATTTTGCTAATTATTTAATCGAATTCTTCTACTTTTATATTCATATACTATATATTTAATAAATATTTAATTGAAACCCTTCTTTTTGTATTTAAATATATTTTTATAAATTATCTCATAAAGTTAATAGTAAAACACAGATTTTGGTAGAAGATAAATACAGAAGCTCTCCCAACAATATGAATGTTGAATAGCATTGACCGCAAGAACTGCTGGTTGCGTCAACAAATACTGGATTTTTCGGAGTTGGGTCTATTGTCTTTGGGCTATAGATTTGCAAAGTTATAACTGGGCTACTCAGTTGCAATGTGTGTGTATGAGTTGTACTTATGTGCAATTCTCTCTTTCTATTTTCCTTGTTTTTTCTTTTTGATGGAAAGGATATTTATTTTATTATATTAAATTAGGAATTACAGTAGGAGCTATTAGTAGATGATAATCCATGCATAGCATAGCATGCAGATTACCAAGCATAGCAAGTTTTCTATTTTCCCTGTTATTAATGTGATCTCCAGAATTCATTCAAGAGAGGCGATATTCTCTTGTAATGTATTTACTCCGATTATTGATTTTCATGACATGACTAGAAATGATTAGGACTTTAAGAGTCATATGCGCTTTTTTCCATTTTCTATTTTCTATATACTAATCCAGTGAGAAGTTTTATTGTGTGTCTCACACAACTTACATTAGTTGTGTGAGGCTCTTTTTATCTCACAAATTTGTTGACCCCAATCTTACTATTCTGGGTTGACAAAACTGTAATACAGAAAAGATGTCTCATACAACTAATGTAGTTGTATGAGACACAAAATAAAATTTTCCTAATCCAGTAATCCACATCAATGCTTTCCCCACTCCCCACTACAGACAAAATCCCCCAAAAGTAAGGAAATCATTAATAATTAGTAATTTTTACTAAACTCTATTTCATCCAAAGATTACTTTTACTAGTTACTCGTTGTCTTTGTTAATGATGACAAAATTTATGGGGTAGTGTTGGATAATGGATAATTCAAGTGATACAGAAGTAGAATATAATGAACGATATGAAAATAAAAGAATTACTTGAGACATGCAATGCAACGAATGAAAATAGTACCTTCTGGCTGCTGCACTGCACATATATAGCTGTGTCGACCTGACGCCGATCCTTTCCCCCCACTCCCCACTACAGATACAGAGTACAGATTTCAACTGACCAATTTCATGTTTAAGGATGAAGAAATATAAACGTCTAAATATCCCTCCCGACGTCGAAAAGAATAGAAAAAGTTTGGAAAAGCTCCGGAAAGAAAAACGCTACTGGTGGTTGTACGTAAAGAGAAGTGATCAATATTTCAACATTGAACATTATGAACCAGAGCTAATCGTCAAATATGGGGAGAGGAAGAGATTGGTGAATTTTCTCTTCTTTTTCTTTAAGAGATTTATTTTACTAGCTAGCTGGTACATGAGTAGTCCCTTTTCCTGTCAAAGGTTGGTATTCAATAGCTGGAAGTAGTAGCTGATTAAGATCCACATTTTTGTTAAAGCCATTATTAACCATAAATGTCAAAGACAGAATGGTATATTAAGAGTTTGATTTGAGTCAGATTTGCAGATTTTGTATGGAAATGCCAATCTTCATTAGGATCCCAGATAACCAATCGTCCTTAGCATTAATATTGATGGCTGTCTCACTAATTTGGTTGTCTAGCTAATAGGAGTTAGTAATCCTTTCCTGGTTACTTATTTGAAATGGGAAAGCCCAATTATCTCCTATTTTGTCAGAGTATGAATTTGTAATATCATCTTTACTGTTATTGTTAGAAAAGATTATTTTTGATTTGTTAAAGCTGATTTTAATTTTGTCCCGAAATGATTGCATCACCAATTTTTGAGTTTGCCCGAGCTAGCTAGGAGGATTATATCATCCCCAACATAAGGTGCTATAACTTGGGGCCTGAAGGGGAAACTCAAATACGATCCTGCTCCTTTCTAGAAACCTTATGCTCGATAAGGCTTCCATACACATAATAAACAAGTTAGGGGAGATAGAGGATCACCTTGTCTATATCCTCTAGTCGGTTTTAATTTGTTGATATTCCATTAATATTTATTGTTGCTGAGGATGTAGAGACTCAAGACATAATAATGTTTATTATGATAAGGAAAATTTACCCTTTTAACTTGTCTTAAAATCTGCTAACATGTTTTCCTATCATCAACAGTTTGAGCAATTCCCTCAGATGAAGAGAGATTTTGCTGCTGGTTTGGCTTTGCGTGAAACTTACGGATCATTTTTGTTAGAGTCAGCTGCCTACAGGATTAGGCTTCTATTGGTTTACAAGGGTAATAATATAATTCTTATCGACTATAAGAGTGTTTTAGCTTATATTGTATATATGTATGTATAAGTATATATATGAGTTATGTGACGTTTTCGTGTTTTTGAAACATTATGCAGATGATGGTCACTACGATTTTCCCCTTGATACACTTTTTAGTAATGGGATAATAGATAATCTTGTAGAATGTTGTCGATATGGACATTGGCACGGTGTCCGCGTGAGTATAACTCCTTATCGTTTGTCCGCAGTATTTACGACGTAATAATGTTTCTCATTTTCCTCTTGTTTTCTTAGAGCCGAGCCGCAGAAACTTTAGGTCAAGTCATCTCTGATGGAACAATAGCACAGGTTCAAGAATTAGTTAACCGTGACGCTATTCCTGTTCTTCTACAAATGCTTAATGATGAGGAAATAAGGCACTATGACGATGAGAAATGGTTGGATTACTTTGTAACTAATGAGGTACGATGCTAATTTTTCTCAAGTTTGTATACTCCTATTTTATCCAAATGAGAAATGGTTGGAGAACTTTCTTACAAGAGGAAGTGAAGATCAAATTCAGGTAGTCCTTACCTATCTTCCATGATAATGTTATCATTAATTTTTTACTAAGTGTTGTTGTTATAATTGGATTGCTACTTGTGTATAAAGTCATGTATTTATCTCGTAGCTACACTTGTGCTCATCATATCATTCTTATTCTATGTGTGAGGTCAATCTTCCTTTTTAATATCACAACTCACTGCTATACTGATGGCCAATTAACACTTCTCCTTTGCTTCCTGATTAAAATCTGAATCAGCTTTAGTCAAATGTTTCATTTTTGTTTTATCCAACAATATTTTCATGAACAATTTTAGAAGCAACTTTTGAGATCATGCTAACAAGCTTCTTAATCATTTAGCACTTGAAATTTTTGGTATTCTTTAGTTAAGTTTTGGTTGCACAAAAGCTTGACTCGCTACGACAAATTTTTATGCCATGTTGATCCTGGTAGACTATGGCTTGCTAGGCTTTTCTCTCCTTATTCTGAAGTTGGACTACATCAAGTTTACTTCGCATAGGATTTTATGTACAAAATTCTTTCTTAATTTGTTGTACTGGTTTCTCATTTTCTTGAACGGTTATAAATGTATACATTCCTGGACTACTTGGACTATCAAACTCTAGCATTATCCTACTAAGGAATTAGATGACAACACAATTAAGAAGCCTTCAAGAGATACTATCTTTAGCACCCATATGTAATCTCCCCTGTGTATCCACCTTCTTTTTTGGTTTAACATGTTTCTGAGTCCTTTTTAAGGCAATGAGATTACGTCCTTCTATATATGTGTTCTAGGTTCTCCATGAACACCATGTTTTGGATCACCTAGCACAAGTACTCGCCGATCCTGCATGGCACAATTTATCCATCCTGATTGTACAATATAAGGCAGCAGAGGCTTTGGGTAATTTTGCCCGTCGTTCAACAAGGTGGAGGGACCTTGTTATTGATACTGCTCCTCTCATCCCATTATTTCAACTTGTACATAGGCTATCACGTGAGGCCACTTCTATTAACACGTCATCAGCTATCAGTTCATCCAGGACAATAGGAAACTTATGTTTTGGAAGTCCACCCACATCATTTGATAAGGTGGAGTAGAAGAGATAGTTTGTGTTCTGTTTTTTAGCACAGATTTCTTTAATGCTCATACACGATACACTGTTGTTGTTTCAGTTGAGGCCATCATTACCGGTCCTCCGGTATCTCATTGATCTGGAGCTTCGTATAGAAGAAGAAGAAGAAGAAGAAGCAATCCCTGTTCTTAAGCATGCTTGCTTAATTATTGCATGTCTGGCACGAGGTGGATTTGATCCTATAAATGCGCTGATTGAGCAAAATATGTGCCCAAGGCTGGTGATGCTTTTGGCGTAAGTTGTTCTCCTTTTTCATCAATTCTTTTCTGTTGTTAATTCTGATATGTTCAGCTAGGATAAGGGAGAATCTAATAAACTGAGGTTATGCCAGACATACGAATAGTGAGGTAGTAGCAAATGTGCTGAAGGTTGTGGAGAACTTCTTTAGGAGTGGAACTGATAATCAAATTCAGGTACTCCCTGTACCATTAACCTGCTTTTGTCTTCTACCCCAATCTTTTGATGTTTACTAGTAACAAATACCTCAGGCGTTAGTGTCTCCGTCATAATCTGATATTATTGGTGTTTCTCGGAATTGTTGCCGTTGCTGTTGTACAACATTTTTTAGCCCTCAGGGTGAAGATTTCGGTCACAAATAAAGGCTTGTTTGTAACATTTGTAACACGACATTTGCACTCCTTTTATGGTTTGCTATGTTCTTCTGGTTGATTCTGAAGAAAATACAAACACAAGAGCTAAATGAATCTCTGCCTAAAAATTGATTTAAGCCCAACATTTCTACGAATGCACGTATTATGATTTTGAACTCTTCTTATTGGATATGTGTTGTTCTCTTTTTATTTTAATTAAATAGAGAATAAAGTTCTGGCACAATTTATTTTATAGAAAGTCGGTGCCATTCTCTACTTCCTCTCTTTCTCTCAAACACCCACACATTCTCTCTTTCTATGCTTCTCTGAATTATCTCTTCTTTTGTTCTAAACTCAACCTTGTCTCTTATCTCATCTTCTTCCTCATTCATATTCTCTAATTGTAGTTGCATTCATTGTTATTTTCCATTGTAATTAGTGACTGACTTCTCTGTTAGTTGCTATATGTGGAAGTTATCGGATTGGTTGTTTCCATTTGACTGCCATTTGCGATCGAATTCAGTTGATAATCAAATATACTTTTCCAATTTGGGTGAATTGAACTGCTGAGTTCACTACAGGAGTAAAATGTATTGGTATTTGATAATTTTAAACATTCATGTACAAACTTTGATAGATACCCAATGTATTTACTAGACTAGTAACTAGTACATCCATGTGCCAAAATACCAAAAGTTTCTAGCAGACTTCATTATCAAGCACTTCCGCCATGAGAAATTTTCTACCAAAACTTTTCAGCTTCTCTAATTATATGGATTATCTCGATGTTTATGGTGTTTGGCCATTGCAATGGCGACTTATGTTCCATAAAAACATTACTGTAGTAGCTAAAGATTGGGACATGACTTCCTGCTTCCAAGAGAAAACAGTACACCACTCTCAAATGTAAAATAATAGCCAGAGGTTCTTTTGATCAATATTTCCTAGTCCCTACCTAAGTCCTATGAGCGTATCAGTTTCACCCTTCGAGTACTATACACAGTAATCAACAGATCTCAAAACTCTGCTCCTATATGAACTTGACTAGGAGAGTATTTGACAGCAGATTTTTCTTTAGAAATGAAAATCGCAGCATCACATTCACACTCCCAGTTACTATTCTAACAATTCAAACTCTTTTTGAGTCTCCTCTGTTAGGCACAACTGGTTTAAAAAGTAGTTAGGGGTAGTTTAAAGGAGAATTAATAAAACGGCAGCCTTTGGTGTATCCCCTAAAAGTGTTGAATAGTATACAATGTTTTAAAAGGCGGGGGCGGGGGCTGGGGCGTGAGGCGAGGCGTTTTACCTCTGACGAGGCGAGGCGTAAGCCCTGAGACGTAGGGCGTAAGTCCCATGGATCTTTAAATTTTACTAATTTCAAAAATTTTAAAATAATATAAAATATAAAATAATTATAAAAATTACATTAAAATCACAAAATTATAACAAATACTTTATTTAAAATATTTATAATTTATAATTCAACTATGAATAATACGAAAAGTATNGAAGTACCCAGGCCATGGCCTTTTTTAATCAAATTGGGCCCAAAGGTAATAACAACAAGCAAAACCAGGCGGATTCAAAAATTAACCCAACTGGGCTCGCTGGTTGCTTCAATCTACACTGAAGCCCAGAATTGCTGAATTAGGAGTAAATGCAAGACTCACTATTAATGTTAAAAATTTACAGCATGATTAATTAATTAGGTTTTGTCTTCTGTTACTTCATTTTAGAGACAAAGTGAGTAGAAAATTGTAGCCACCTTAAGATTTGCCTTTAAATAACGAGATGAGCCTCGCCAAACAAGACACATAAATTGCGGGGCCCTCGATAAATGTTTATACAAAATATTTAGAATTCGGGAGGACCGTTTAGCAAATTTCACGGCCTTCCCTAAAGCTGAAAATGCGTAGATGCTTTAGGCGCGTATTTTAATAAATTTACCTTCCTAAATACGGGTGCACATTTATGTGACCCAAATCAAAATCTCGACGAAGTCGAAATGAGTTAACAATCACGGGTGCACTGGTGCGACGTGGTTCAAGACGCATTTTCACGACGTTGCAAGTCTCATAATAAAAAATATAATAAAAGCGGTTTAGAACAAAGGGCACATAGGTTAGAATATGTTTTAAAATCAGATAAAAGCAAATACAACAGTTGAGCGACCGTGCTAGAACCACGGAACCCGGGAATGCCTAACATCTTCTCCCGGGTTAACAGAATTCCTTACTCGGAGTTCTGGTTCGCGGACTGTTAACAGAGTCATAATTTCCTCGGGTCGGGATTGAACTGGTGACTTGGGACGCCATAAATCTCCCAAGTGGCGACTCTGATTTTTAATTAAATAATCCCGTTTCGATTGTCACTTCAAGTTGGAAATAACTCCCTCTATTATACCTTTGCGGGTGTAGTAAGTAAAAAGGAGGTGTGACATCAGGTACACCACAGGGTGAGTGAGGACTTGTTTAGTAGAGCAGCATTTATCCGGGAGTATTGAGGTAGCTGCATGGCGTTCGCAGCCTTGATCTCTCCCATCCATTTTATCCTTTTATTCGTATTTTTCCTAGACAGACTTGTGATAGGTGAATATATTTCGTTTTAGAGGCTCATGTTCGTGACACCAGATCTGTGGGTTATTTAGTACAGAGATTCCGCATTTAAATTGCTATTTTTATTTATTTATTTGTGAATATTCCTTTATCCATCTAGGATATTTGGTTAAGGTTGTGTAAATGGTCGGGCTTGCCTAACAGTGTGTTGGGCGCCATCACGACCGGGGTTGGGGTCGTGACACAATCAAAAAGGGGTATTGGTAAAAGGCACAGTACCCTGGCCTGTGAACGTCTACATACTCTTTCCCCGCTGGAATCATCTCTACAAGGGCGGGTATGCCGTATTTAATACGGGGATCATCTAAGTGCTTCTGCTGCGACTGGGAAAGCACCGGAGCCGGAGTGGGAGAGTCCTTATTGAAATCGCTTCGAGATAAAGGACGCTTTGGTAACAGCGCCTCCACCGTAAGAGGACTGGTGTCCTCTTCTCCCTTCATCTCTCCGCCATCGGAAGGCGGTGGCACATTCAATGGAGCAGCCGTCGGAATCCTCTCATCGTCTCGGTGAGGTTCAGACATGATTTCGATTGGGAAAGAGTGGTACACAACACAACGGAGAAAAAGGAAATTTTTGATCAAAGAAAAAAAAANGTATCTCTTAAGGAGTAATGAATCTTGAAAGAATTTCAATATTATAATTTGATATTTTTCTTAAAATAATCCTTTTATTTAGTATGCTTTCTATTTGAAGAGTATGTATATAAAAACATAATTCACAAGTTAAATATGATTCTCTAGCATCTTTTACTTTTAAGTTTCAACAAGTTAATAAAGTGACATATAATTCACCATACAATACCATGATAACTAATTATTTGTAGATAGTTACTAGCTAATACTGAGCTATTAAATTAATAAGTATTGTATCTCGTAAAAGTAGAAAAAAATATTTGGAAAAATAATTATAAAAAAATGATGGATTATTATATAATAAAGACATAACAAAAGTTAATATAAATACTTTTTAAATGAAAGATTTATTTAAAATTAACTATCATAGCAGTCTTAGTGGATAACGTGCAATAATTGTTACTTTAATAATGACATAAAATACTCTCAACTTGATGATTTATGATTAAGAAAAAAGTAATTTTGAATAGTCAACGATTTATTAAGAAAATTTGAGAATTTACAAGGTTAGTTACATATAATTGCATAAAGTTCTATGAGGCGAGCCTAGTACGCTGGGCGTAAGCCCCGATGGCCGAGGCGTAAGTCTCACGGAACTAAGCCCCACACATAAGCCCAGGGGCGTTTTACGAGTGCTCCGCCCTTGGGCGAGCCCCGGGCGAATCCCAATTCTGCCTTTTAAAACAGAGATAGTATAAAGTCAAGCAACCGAATAAATTTAGTTCAATATAAAAATCAAAATAAATAAGAGTAAGATCAGCATAGTTTGCATATTACAAATAACAAAGAGGATTTTTCTCTTTCCTCAACCATAGTGATCAAGAGTATCCCCAACCATAGTGATCAGGGAGCCAGCACTTCCTACTTTCCTCTAAATCATCAAAATAATCCCTCTCCTTTTTTGAAACTTTTGTAAGCTTAAAAGAACAGTTAGGTAGAATAGGCCTAACTTAGTACTCCCTCTGCCATAATTTATGCAGCGGTGTTTGACTCTGTAAGAAATTTAAGAAAGAAAGGAAAACTTTTGATTTATGGTCTAAAACAAACTATAGATATGTGTTTGTCTATGAATCACCCGTAAAGTAAGAATTTTAAATATAAATTATTTTTAAATAAGAAAGTATGATATTCTTTGGAGACAAACTAAAAAGGAAAGTATGATACATAAATTGGGACTAGAGAATATAATGTTTTTGGAAAGATCAGGCACTATGTCCCTCCTCATTCAATTTTATCTTTGTTCTATTATTTATCTTTCTTTTCCTCTTTGCTTTATCATGCGAGATCGAGGATCTTTTTCTTGAACCCATACGTGTTATGTAAGCACTTACTCAAAATTTTACTTATTAGATTATTTCCATTGTGAAAGACACAATTTTTCTAATCAACGTAACTTAATTTGATCTTTATAAAGTTCTCGAGATACTTTGTTACGACATTTATTTTGATTATACAGAGGTTAGAGGTCATAGCCCTAACCCCTACACTATAATGGTGGTCTTTTGTAAAAAATAAATAGTACTAACAAACATTATTTTGACGTTTATAGTGTGGAAGTTTATATTTCTAGATAAATTTATGAGATTATCAAGTTACATAGGTAATTGGCGAAATTACCACTTTTTAAATTTGAATTGGCCAAGTGACCTTCATGCTTAATTAGTACTTAAGTGAAATTATAAAGTGAAGAGGGAAGCTTAGTCTATAGGACATAATTTTTTCTATTTATTGAGTTAGCTATATAAGATAGACAGAAATTCATCAATTCCAGGAACTAACACTTTTTTATAACTTAAATATATTTTTTTCGAAACTTACTCGTTGAGATGGGGCACGTACTCTGAAGACTAATATATATATATATATATGAAAATATAATTAATGATACCTATTTGTGAGGGGTAAATAGGTGGGTAAATAAATTTATAATGTAGGATAGACGGGTAAAAGTAACTTCTTTTTTTCTTCTTTCTTCTCACTGATTCGGAATAGGTTTTCTTTTTCCTCACACTGAGTTCCGAATAGCTTAAATTATTGCCAGTTTGCCGCCTTCTGCCGGCTGCCGCTACGGTCTTGTCCGTCAATTTCTGCAGCGATAGCTTCTGCACAGGTCCAGGATGTCTAAGCCTGAAAATAATGTTCGCCAGGATGTTTGTGGCAGCACTAGTCGCCAAAATACCGAAGCCTATGTTCAGGTTATTATCTTGTGCACTGTTTTCATTGTCTCTTCAGCTTGCTTACTCGCTCAAACTTGTTTGCTGGGACTTCAAGAGGGTGGTGGGGGGGGGGGGGGTGTGTGGACAGTAAACTAAATGTTTCAGTTTTTACCGTAGAACTTGTCAGTCATAATCTCCAGCAACCTTTTTCCCCTTTCAAGTTTTAACCTTTTGTCATCCTAGTGAGAAATGTTGATGCATAGGACCCATAACCAAGAGCCGGTAAACTTGAATTGTACTTTCACTTTGGATTGCTCATAAGGATGTTATCTTTGGAAGAAATCTCAAAACATAAAATCCCAAATTTCACTAACCTGTATATCTTTAATTAAAAAAAAATACTAACCTGAATATCCTAACATGTGGTCCTCGTTTAATAGGTATAGGACTCTTTTTTCGTATCAATCCTGGAGCTAAATGCCCTCGAATGGATTTTGTATAGTTTCTATTGGTCATTCATTATTGGGCTTCTCATGAAATTTCTGACTCTTTCTCCGCCATTTAGTCTCGTCTGATTAAATTCAAACTGCGGCATAAGTTTCATCTATATGCTTGCCTGATTTGAGTTATTTTAGGGGTCGGAACCTAGAATTTACATGTCCTCTATTTTAATGTATTGGTAAAGTATCTTTACCTAAATAGAACTGGTTAAACTGAAGTACTCAAACGTAGCTGTTGCTAGTGGTTCTGACTGTTTTTGTTTTTTTCTTAGTATGCCCTTTACATCGTATGTATTACTACCTTCTATTTTGTTTCTTAAGCATCCATGGGATGCAGCCCATAAACATTTAAGTGAAGTCTTGGGAAAAACAGGGAATGGGCTAGGTCTTTCTTACAAAAACGCAGAAGAATATCAAGATCTGTTGGGGATTTAAGCACGAAAAACAATTAAGGTATGATACTTAGTGAAAAAAGGTGCTAATGAAGAAGAAATAAAAAAGAAATATTTAATAGAAGAAGAAATAAGTTTGTTTCTCAAGTACAACTCAATGAGCTATTTATATTTGACGGGAATTCGAAAAATTAAAATACCTAAATAAAAACCAGGGTTCCATCACAGGCCCTGGACAACTACCGAAGTCGGTTGGAGATTCAAGCATAAAAAACAATAAAAGCATGAGCTTTATGGTGTGTTTGGTGTGTTGAAAAATATTTTGTGGAAATATTTTCCCATTTTCCCATATTTGGTTGATATAAATGATTTGGAAAACGTTTTCGTTAACAACTTATTTTCCAGTTTCCTCTAATTAGGGGAAAGTGACTTCCCTAAAAATTGAAGGGAAAACATTTTCCGGAAAATCAAAAGATACATTGGTCCTCCTCGCTGCCCCCTGGTGCTGGTCCCCCCTTCCCAAAACTCTCTCTTCTAGGTTTTTTAAAATTAAAAGGCAGAATAGTCTAAATGATACTTATACTTGTGCCACTTTGTCATCCCGGTCATTGTATTCAATGAAGTTTCATCCAGACACCTAAACTCAGTCAAAACATGTATTTTAAACCTCTTCAGCATTACGTGTAGGTCACTCGCCTGACATGGAGAAAATATCATGTCCACATCAGATAAATTAATGCCACATCTTTATTTATTTAAAAATTAATTTTTAATAATATTTCAAATTCATCACTATCTTCCTATGCTACCGGCGACCCTTATCACCGGGAAACAACCGGAAAATCGGAGTCGCCTCCACCTTTTTGCTCTCTTTCCTCCTTTCTGAGGACAATCTTAAACCCCAATTCATATACATAAAATTCTTATATTTGGAAAAAAAAAATTATCTTGCAACAACGAGCAGCGGTGACAAATATATCCGGCTCTGTAAAGGACAAAACAAGAGAAAGAAGCGGCAGCTAGGAAAAGCGACGAACAACCAAACCAGTATTCGCAGCAGCAGCTATAGTAGTAATTGTCTTCGACGGCAAAAAATCAGTTAACCTCTCCGTCAATAAATACGGTGTCTGTCGGTGACAACGGTGGCAGTGAAATAGGGAAATTAAGGAGCGTTTCGGAAATGGGATATGAACAGAAGGAATTGGGAGGAGAAGCGGTTGGAGACATATTTGTAGGCGTAGAGAGAGATTGAGATTTTGTGAATTTGAAGAGAAGCTGGTAGAGTACTTGGGTTGGGTTGGGAAATTAATTTACTCTTTTTCTTTTTTATGGCTATTCTTTATTATTTTTAATATTTTTAAATCAAAAAAATATATCCACTCCATTTTTAGAGCGTGTAATCACTCGTTTTTCTGACTTAGCAAAATGAATGACACATAAGTTCAGTCAACGATCAAAGGGATTTAAAATACATGTTTTGACTGAGTTCAGATGTCTGGATGAAACTTCATTGAATACAGGGACTGAGATGACAAAGTGACACAAGTATAAGTGCCATTTAGGCTATTCTGCCAAATTAAAATCTCTCCTCCACTCGCCGCAACTTCTATTTATTGTTTTGGGTCTATTCTTTGCCGGTCAGCTATAGTTTTCCGGCAACGACAAAGGTATCTTCCCTTTTTCGGCGACGTTTTTTGACAATTTTGAAAAGCTTGTGAAGTGGGTTAATGTCCCTTATTAAGAACCTCCTTTGTACTTTAACTGCAGTTTCTTGTATATTCATTTACTTGAAGTTGTAGTATTTTTAGAAAAAGTAAAACTCTTATTTATAATTATGTGAAGTTTATTTGGCAATCCCATGCCTCGTATCTTCTGAATACGCCATTGATTTGTTATTCTCAACATTGATGGATAGTGGTACTTAAAGATGGAAATATGGTGAAAGTTCTTACTGTTATTAGAACACTCAAGAATTGAAGGGTATGAGAGTACACACCTGGAAACGTGGGAGATTTGGGGTGGGTGTGAGGAGCATAGAAACGTGGGGGATTTGGGGCGAGGGGAGGAGCATGGAAACTATGTTCCTAAAACTATTTTCCACCCATTAACCAAACACTAGATTTTTTTTTTTACTTTCTAACCAAACATGAGAAACTAAGTATGAAAATTACTTATTTTCTCATAAAATATTTTATAGGAAAATATTTTCAATGGAGAACATTTTCCATCAATACCACTTAGTGAAAGAAGACGCTACTGAAGTAGAAATAAAATATATAGATGTAATGTTCAAAATAATTGTTTTTTCTTAACCAAGAAATCTGCTATTCCTAACTTTGAAATCGATGAATAATGTAGTATTATCAAAGACTCACTTCACTTGAGCCTTGAAGCTAGGTACAAAAACCGGAGTGCTTCACAACGCTTAGACGTAGACACGTAGTTCCCATTTAGGCACCAAGGCAAAAAAGTATGTGTGTCATCACCTATTGGCCTCCTCTTGAAGAGGGCAACACTAAAAAATTAACTACTTCCTCCATCCTAATTCATGTGATACCATTTCCTTTTTAGTCTCCCCAAAAGAATGTTACCTTTCTATACTCAGAAATATTTTAATGATATATATATATATATATATATATATATATATGAAAATATAATTAATGATACCTATTTGTGAGGGATAAATAGGTGGGTAAATAAATTTATAATGTAGGATAGACGGGTAAAAGTAACTTTTTTTTTTCATTCTTTCTTCTCACTGATTCGGAATAGGTTTCTTTTTCCTCACTGAGTTCCGAATAGCTTAAATTATTGCCAGTTTGCCGCCCTCTGCCGGCTGCCGCTACAGTCCTGTCCGTCAATTTCTGCAGCGATAGCTTCTGCACAAGTCCAGAATGTCTAAGCCTGAAAATAATGTTCGTCAGGATGTTTGTGGCAGCACTAGTCGCCAAAATACCGAAGCCTATGTTCAGGTTATTATCTTGTGCACTGTTTTCATTATCTCTTCAGCTTGCTTACTCCCACAAACTTTTTTGCTGGGACTTGGGATGGGGGGTGGGGGGGGGGTGCGGACAGTAAACTAAAAGTTTCAGTTTTTACGTAGAACTTGTCAGTCATAATCTCCAGCAACCTTTTTCCCCTTTCAAGTTTTAACCTTTTGTCATCCTAGGGAGAAATGTTGATGCATAGATATAATTAATATTATATACCACATTTTTTCTACTAAATGTAGCTCTTAGGATGTTTGTCATATTGCATCATTAGCAAATATCGAAGAAACTACCAAAATTTATGTCTTGTCAAAAAGCTTCTTTTTACTTCTTTTTTAGCTAGAAGGTATGGCTTATGACTGGATTCCCTAGTCGAGCCATCAATGACATGTCAAGCCATCAGTGACATGTATTCAGTTATAATAGGGTTATAAGGCAAATGACCAGCATGTAACATCTTAATTACTTCCATTGAATAAGTGTTAATGATAAGAGGAGTCGATTTGTGTTCTATAGCTATTATAAGGCCTTGAAATAAACTTTTCTTTCTGTCACACTAACTGGGCCGAAGTGTGGCTCTCTTGAAAAAATTCTGTGCTCCACTATGTAAATATGAGAAATACCCTCTTTAGAAATCATAGAATTGACCATAATATTCTTCTTAAACGCTTGTCTAGAGTCTTTGATTTTGTGTCCAGACCGTTGGATGTTTGAGTTTGGTGACTTTGATCCTCCTCTGAGCTTACATGTCATTTTTTTTTCTGCCTATTGTATGTTAGTGGCATGCACTTTTAATTCCTTTGCTTCTTTACAAAGTGTTTGACACAAGTTTACTGACTAGTGAAGTAATGGTGTGCAACCCATGTGCACAAGAAAAACTGTACATTTTTATTTGTGAAAGAACATGAGCATTAATTTCAAGATCTTCAGACAATTGGTGGAGTACGTCAAGAATCCGTGAAGCATGTTTGATGCTCTCTAACACCCTTTGACAGGTGTAGCCCGATTTTAGAATTCGCATGTGAACTGAATATTGGACAATCGAGTCTGAGAGTCCATGCCAAAATTGCCAACAAAAGAATTTGTGCATTCATCCCAAAACATAGATGGAATACTCTCATAAACTGTTTGTGTACCTATATATCTTTTTCATCTATAAAGTTAAGACAAACATAAATCTGTTTGGTGAATTATTAATTACCTTTAGTCTTGACTGAAAATGAGATGCTTTCATATTTCTTTGTTCCTTTTTTTTTTCTCTCTTTAAATACATTCTCTTTCTTTGTAGTAGTAACTGCTACTTTCCTGTTTATTACAGATTCTGGGGACAGGAATGGATACCCAAGAAACATCCCCGTCTGTTCTGCTCTTCTTTAACAATGAAAGATTCATATTTAATGCTGGAGAGGTAACTCTTGAGTGATAGTAATATTTATTGCACAATACATTTTTAATTGGATAGTAGATTGGGGCTTACTTCAACTAGCCTGCTATTTCATTATGCGTCTAAAATATGGTTATTGAATTCAAGGATATCCATTAGGCGATACTTCAACTAGCATGTTAAGGATTCTCACATTTCCAAATATAATACCTTGTAAATTTGTATCTTGATTGTGCAATACAATTTAATTCAAAAGCTCTAGGAAGAGGCAGCGTGGAGATGCCAACACAATGCTATTTCTAAAGTTTGGGCTTTTGTTAACAAAGTATAATGAGTAGGAAGTATTCTGTCAGATTCAATCTTCCCGTAAATTGAAAGAACGCTTAAACCCAAACTTTCTCTGTTAAGTGTTAACCTTGAGTTAGTTTGCCGAAGTGAAGATCCAGATTCAACTCTAGGTTGAACTGAATTGATTAAATTAAAATCCGTAGTTGGTGCTGTATCTGCTGGTTCATCGTCAACAGGTGATCATTACAAGCTTTTCTTTGTTTTTTGGGGGGAGCAGAGCTTTGGAGGAGGGCATGTGACACTTGCTGTGATTCTTTTCCAGTAGAATTTTGGCAGCTTTTGAAATAGGTTTCAGTAATGAGGATTGAAGCTCTGCATTTTCTATTCTGTAAAAATCAATAACCAACTTGTTCTGCACAGCAGATATTATCCACTTGTTTAAACCCCCCAAAAAAAGAAATCACCCGCTCGCAGGAGTTTTCTAGTTAGTTGTAAGAACATCTATAAGGTGTTATTCCTCAAATCAGTACTCATGTTGCAGGGATTACAACGCTTCTGCGCTGAGCATAAGATTAAATTATCTCAGGTATATCTCACATGCACGATTTCAGTTTCAAAGTTTACACAACTAATTGGTTACTGCTTTTGTTGTATAAACATACTGTTGTCAATTTACAGGTAGACACATATGTCTCACTCGTGTCTGCTCAGAGACAGCAGGAGGACTTCCAGGTTTGCATCTTGACCTTCGGGGAATGAACTACTTTTAAACCATATTTTGTTTTGTCCCTTTAGTTTTCTTAGAGAATTAAATTGATTTTCTATATGGTACTCCCTCTATTTCAGTTTAGATGACACGCTTTCCTTATTAATCCGTTCCCAAAAGAATGACACATTTCTATATTTAGAAACAATTTAACTTTAAACTTTTCATTCTACCCACTTTACCCTTAACAAGAAGCTTTTATAGCCGCACAAATATTATGGCCCCACTAAGATTTTGCCCCTCAAGCTTTTAGCACAACATGTTTTAAAAATCTTATTTTTATTCTTAAACTTTGTGCCAAGTCAAACTGCATCATCTAAATTGAAACGGAGGGAGTACAATTTATCACAGTTCCCAAGAATCAAATCTCTCATGAAATCATTTTCCTCATGATCCCTAATCCACTGCGTCTCAGGTTTGCTATTGACTTTGGCTGGCATAAAAAATGGAAGTCCTGAGAGTACTGAGCATGTGAGTACCAGTGCAGTGCTTACCTCTCCTATTTTCATATGATACTTATCATTAAAATGAAAGCGACAGTGGTGCTATTATTTACTAAAAAAGCATCTCTATTGGTCTTTTAAGGTTGACATATGGGGTCCTCCAAATCTTGATTTATTGGTTAACGCAATGAAGAATTTTGTCCCTCATGCTACCATGGTCAAAGCACATATCATCCCACGAAGTGACAATGTTATGGTTCATGGAAATGGAGCTGCACTAGCTTCCTCACTACATGCGGAGGAGCTGCAAGCTGAAGGCAAGTTCAAGGCAGTTAGTATATCAGCTATTCTCCTAACACCGACTCATTTGGATGGATCTCATTTTAGTTCAAATGATACCTCCATTGTATATATTTGTAACCTACATGACATCAGAGGGGAGTTTGACCCCAGAAAGGCTAAAGCTTGCGGACTCAAAAAGGGGAGAAAGCTTGGACAACTGCAAAATGGGATCAGTGTGAAGTCAGATCTGCTGGATATCGAGGTCAGTTCTACACTCATTAGAACTACATTATAAACTTCGTTTCTGCAGTTCTTGTGCCTCTGAAGTTATTAAATTGCAGCTGATTTTCATTTTGCCTCATTCAGGTCCATCCAGATGATGTAATAGGCCCACCTATTCCTGGTCCCATTGTACTGATTGTTGACTGTCCAACAGAACCTCATGCACAAGAGTTACTGTCTGCACAAGCTCTTAATGCCTATTATTCAGATCCCCAAAGTAACTCCCAAGAGACCACCAAGGTTGTGAACTGCATCATTCATTTGAGCCCTGCTACTGTTGTCAGCAGTCCAGTTTATGAGAAATGGATGAGGAAATTTGGTTCTGCCCAACATATTATGGCAAGAACTACAAGGTCCGTAACTTCTCTTCATGATTATTTCAGATTTTTACATATCAACACTGGTTCATAGTCATTCTGTCACAGGAAGCATGAAACAACTCCAATTCTAGAATCTAGTGCGAGAATAGCCACAAGACTGCATTATTTCTGTCCGCAGCTTTTTCCTGCTCCTAGTCTTTTTTCTGTTCAGAATGATGATGTTGCAGCACCAAATTTCAAGGTACTAGTGGAGGTTTGTTTGAAGCTCTAAAAGTTGATAGTCACTTGTGAGAACTCTTAAATACCCGAGGAAAACAGGTGATATGATGCTTGTCGTTGCAGGGTTCTATCTCGAAGGTTTGTGGCATATCTGCTGAAAATCTCTTAAAGGTATTGTTGACTCCAGGATTAAATTTTTCTAGGAAAGGTAACAGTATTATAAATCATCAGCACTATAATGTGCTGGAAACCATATTTACTTTTCAAAAGGAGCAAAAGTATACCCTTGCATGGCCATTCTTGTAATGAACTTTTCTTGTCTAACCTGTTGAACAGTTCACCTTACGTCCTCCTAGACGTCTGGGATTGGACAGATCAAGTGTTCAAAATAGGATGACCTCCTCAGTGTTCATTAAAGAGTTACTTTCAGAGATTCCTGAGATTGCTGATGCTGCAAAGAACATAAGCACATTTTGGCACAAACCTAAAGAAGATGAGGCGGAAGTCATGACTGGAGATCCATCGTTGGCTGGACATGCTGCCCCTAGGTGTCTGGAAAATGTCCAGAGAGATGATCTGGAGATTGTTTTTCTGGGCACCGGTTCTTCTATACCTTCAAAATATCGAAATGTCAGTTCCATCTATTTTAATCTTTTCTCTAAAGGGGGCTTACTCCTTGATTGTGGAGAAGGAACCCTGGCGCAACTCAAGAGGAGGTAATAGCATTGGACTCTTAGGATTTATGCTGTATTGTTCAGAACCTCTTTTATCTTTTTTCTATTTTGTTTTTCACTCCATACCTTCTTTCAACCGCATGAATTAATTTATTTAATAACATTGACAGATATGGCATCAATGGTGCAGACAGTGCAGTTAGAAATCTTAAATGCATTTGGATTTCTCATATCCATGCTGATCACCACGCAGGTTTGGCACGAATACTTGCTTTGAGACGCGATTTGTTGAAGGGAGTACCCCATGAACCCATGCTGGTTATTGGGCCAGAGCAGGTTGGGGAGTTTCTCAACGATTATAAAAAACTAGAAGACCTAGACATGCTGTTCCTCGACTGTAGGAGCACTACAGTGGCTAAGTGGGATGATATGGAAGCTGACTCTATTTTTGACAAGGATCATCAAATGAGTTCTGAGGGCATGAATGATGAAAGTAGAGATCATGCTGTGTTGACTTCTCTTTCTGAAGACAGTTCTCTGCTGCGCTGTTCGAAAAGAATGAAGCCAAGCACTCCAGTTGATGACATAAAATTGCTGAAGCATTTCAAGAAAGTTCTAAGTGAAGCAGGGCTAGTGAGATTCATCAGCTTCCCTGTTGTACACTGTCCTGAGGCATTTGGTATCATCTTAGAATCAGCAGAAAGAATGAATTGCGGAAAAGTAGTACCAGGTTGGAAGGTTGTGTACTCTGGTGACACGAGGCCATGCTCAGAAGTTATAGAAGCATCTCTTGGAGCAACAATTCTTATACATGAGGTCAGTGCAAACTTGTGCAGATTTTTTCTATTCATTGGGCAGGTCACGTTAGGGATCAGTTATGTTCCAACTTTCTCTTGTGTCAAAATCAAGTTGGCTATTCAGATAGTAGCTCATGGCCTGGATTTCAGTTTTACTATCATTTTGGTACGGTAAATTATCCTTTGTTAAGCAAAGTGCATAAATTCTACCAGTTGACGATTGACATACTAGTATATTATCTGCAGGCGACCTTCGAGGATGGCCTGTTGGAGGAGGCTATAACAAGAAATCACAGCACAATTAAGGAAGCTATAGAAGTGGGACGTTCTGCTGGTGCATACCGCATAATATTGACTCACTTCAGCCAAAGATACCCAAAAGTACCTGCACTTGATGAAGTGAGCATGCAAAGAACTTGTATTGCTTTTGACCTAATGAGTGTGAACCTAGCAGATTTGCCACTGCTCCCTAAGGTTCTTCCCTACCTAAAATTGCTATTCAGAACCAGGGAGTTAACTTAAAGTAACATATTGAGAGTTGAGACACAGCTTCTGAGTTACAGACATAAAAGTTATCTTTCACATGTTAGTATACTGACTAGATGTTGGTAAAATGGATAAAATCTTAAAGTATCCTTTCCAAACCGCCGTGGATTAGTGATTTATTTAAACTCGGTCAAGTGCGGATCAGTTCGTATAACCAGCTCTAAAAAATGGATAATTTCAGAAATTGGTTTGTCTTTTGTACAACAACAATCCAGTATAATCCCACTTAGTGGGGTCTGGGGAGGGTAGTGTGTACGTAGGCCTTACCCCCCCTACCCTGGGGTAGAGAGGTTGTTTCCAAATAGACCCCCGGCATCCTTCCGTCCAAGAACTTCCCACCTTGCTCTTGGGGAGGTTCGAACTCACAACCTCTTGGTTGGAAGTGGAGGTTGCTTACCATCAGAGCAACCCTTTTTGTACAACTATACTATAAATACCTGATTTTCAATTGGAAGGTTCTTGGAGAGTTTCGGATCAGAGTTTAACCGTCACATATGGGGCAAATGGGCGGGTTGGGTTGGATGTGGGTCGAGTTATGGCTGTCCAACGGGACGGGCCGGCCCGTCCCGTCCCGCGTCCCGTCCCGTCCCGTCCCGTCCCGTCCCGCTTCAAGTTAAATGGGATGGGCCAATGTTAAACGGGACACGGGATGGGACGGGACGGCCATTTCGTCCCGTTTGTCCCGTCCCGTTTCGTCCCGTCCCGTCCCGTCCCGCGTCCCGTCCCGCGTCCCGCCAGTTTTTTTTTTTTTTTAAAAACTATCCGTTGGGCAACGGCTTAAATGGCAAAAATAGCCGTTGCCAACGGTCCAACCAGCCCCTACACCCCCCAAAACACCCCCTACCCCCCTCCCCCCAAATTTTTAACTATAACCCCTAAGTTTATTAAATTACACTTTGGCCCTATTTTCTACTATAAATACCCCCCATTCTTCTTCATTTTTTCCCATAAAAAACTCAATCTTCTCTCTCAAATCTCTTACATTCTAATATTCTATCTATATTCTATATTATTCTCTCAATTTTGTTACTATCAAGTATCAAGTATCAACTATCAAGTGTCAAGTGATATCTTTCAAGTTTCAACTTTCAAGTATTTGGGCAAATTTTTTGGAGCAACTTTCAAGCTTCAAATTAATTCGTCAAGTATTTGGAGCAATATTTCGGGCAATTTCTTCAAGTTTCAATATTTAATCACGGTGCACTCGTTCCATCTCCTAATTTTAATATATAATTTTTGCGTATCATTTTAGTGCTTAATTTTTGTGTTTACTTTACGTGTTATATTTTCGTATTTCATTTGTGTGTTTAATATTTGTGTTAGCTTTTTTAATTTAGTTTCGTATTTAAATTATGACACCTAAAAATGTATTTGGTATTTTTTAAAAAAGTGTAAAAAAAGTAGTAAAGGTGAAAGTAGTAGTAATCCTAATCCTAACCCTTCTCCTAGACCCCCTAGAGTTAGAAAGCATATTGATGAAATGACTCATGTTGATGAAACTTCATTTTCCCAACCCCCCACATTTTATGATGTTCATGTCGGAGAACAATTAGATCATGAAACTTTACAAAGACAATTTGGCAATGATATTTTTTTTGAGGATGAAAAAAATGAGGATGAAGAAAATGAGGAAGAAGAATTAGATGAAACACCCACTAGTCCCGCAACACAAGCTCCAACTCAGAGTCGATCTTAATCTGGAGCTTTACCCCCTGTACCCCCTGTAAGGGGTAAGCCTAAGGTTGAACGTCCCAAAACATCACTTGTATGGAAAATTTTAAATATGATAAAGTCAATCATCGTGCTATCTGTGAAAAATGTAAGCAACAATTTGCACACTCAGTAAGTGGTGGGACGGGGGGTTTAACTAGACACTTAAGAAGTGCTCACAAAGATTTATGGATACAAGCTAACATAGAAGCCGGAAAAATTATAGATCCTACCATCAGTTCTGGCACTCCTAGTGGATCTGGTTCTAATCAAATTCAACAACAACTTGACCCTGCTTCTGGTCATGTTTTACGCAAATATAACAAAGATAGAGATCGTGAGAACTTAGCAAAAATGGTGGCTGTCTGTGGCTTACCTTTTACTTTTCCTTCTCACCCTGCTTTTGTGCATTATATACAAGAAACTTATAACCCTGCTTTTCAAAGTTTTCCTAAGACCACGGTTAGAAATGATGTTTTTAAATTTCAAACTGAATATCTTCAGTATATTCGTTGTGTATTTTTTCACTTGGATTGTAAAGTGTCTATCACATCTGATATAGGTCGTAGTCCTAATGGTTGTGATTATTTAACTGTTACATGTCATTGGGTTGATCATCACTGGAACTTGCAAAAACGTATTATTGGTTATAAATTTGTTGATTCAAAACACACTGGAGCATATATTGCAACTACTGTTCTACAAATACTTGATTTTTATGGACTCGTTAATAAAGTTCTAACTATCACCTTAGATAATGCTTCTGCTAACACAACCGCGGCAAATAGCTTAAAATCTAGACTTTGTCCAATTAATCCAACAATTTTTCATGTTAGATGTGCATGCCATATTTTTAACTTGGTTGTAAAAGATGGTCTTAATTTATTTTCTGATGCTTGTAGTAAAATACAACATGCTTGTGGCTATATTTTTCGTGCTCATAAACAAAGTAGAATTCGTGAATTTGCTCAACAATGTGCTAGTGCTGGCCTTCCATTTAGAAAAGTTCCAAAAGATGTTTGTACTAGGTGGAATTCTACTTATGAAATGCTTACAGTTGCTTATGATTATCGGGTGCCCATCCAAAAGGTATTTAATATGCATAATGCTTACCCTGTTGATCAAATTGTTGATTCTGATTGGGATGAGATCAGAGAGCTTACTAAATTTTTAGAAAAATTTTATTATGCTACAAAATAATTTTCTGGTATATATTATCCTACTATTACACAAATATTATGGTATATTTGTGGAATTTCTATTGTATTTGGTAAGTATAAAAAAAATCCAACTTATGCACCAGCCATTAAAGAAATGATTTTAAAATTTAAAAAGTATTTTTTCCCTATTCCCGAAGTTTATTTAATTTCTACACTACTTAACCCATCTTTAAAACTAAGAGGTGCAAAGGGACTTGTTCGTAAAATTTATGAGAATTTAGAAATTCAAGAAAATAAACAACCATCTCTCGAAAACTGCCAAGCTAGCATATATTCTTATGCTAGATCAATGTTTGATAAATATAAATCTATGGATACAACTAGTACTGAAACTGCTCCTTCTACTTCTAAGTCTGGAGCAGAAGTTTTATAGGAAGATATGGATGATATAACAGGTTTTGATTCCTCTATTGATGATGAACTTGATTCTTATCTTAATCAAGGATTGGAAAATATTAAAGACGAAGAAGGGAGCGTGGCAAGGCTTTTCCAACACTTTCAATTATGGCCCGAGATATCCTGGCTATTCAAGCATCATCAGTAGCATCGGAGAGTGCTTTTAGCGCGGCAAGATTTCAAATTGGAGATCATAGACATTCATTAGCGGAGGACAGTCTAGAGATTTCCGTATTATTCAGAGATTGGATTAATTCGAAAATGGGTAGTATAAAAACGGATAAATTATCCGACCTGACCCATATTTCATACGGATAAAAAAATGGGTTAACCAGTATCCATATTATCCATGACTTATTGAATATGATCACTTTTGGAAGAATTCATAGTCTCCCAAACTTGAATAACATCTAATTTGAGGCTTTACAAAGGTAATAGTTAAACCCATTAGTTATTCATTGGTTATTCATATTCTAAATGGCTAATATGGTTCTTATCCATATTCAACCTGTTTTTAAAAAAATCATTATTCAACCCATTTTTAATAATATGCATAGTTAACTGTTTTCTTTTATCCATTTTGCCACAAATAAGCAAACCAACATCGCGAGGATCATCTCACCCACAACAACATTAAGCCTAAACGAAAATGCAACATACGTGAAAATAATCTTGTAACCTCACAGCCTGTCATAGCATAAGAGAGAAAAATATAACATAGACCGAGGCGCGAATAACATCCATTCCGCCCGATGATATACCTATGCTAACAGCTGTGCAAGAGCAAGCAAATCCAATCCGATACATAATACACATTCTCATTAGGCTCACAAATAATCCCCAAACCAAATTCCGATCATTCCCAAACAGGTAGATAACCTTCCAAAAGTCCATAACGACCTTTCCATAACACATACCATCAATTATCCGATCCTCAACATGTCTTCACAATTCGCAATCTAGGAATAGTCTGTGTATGAGAACATCCAGTCTCTGAACCTCATGAATATCAAAATCTCCATATTCGATCTCAACTACGCTACTCAAATGGCTAATGCGTCACTCAGGCTCCATCATCTTACGGAATATACCCACATAGATCCTTTGCGCCACGCAGCAAAAACTTGAACCACAGCAGCCCAAAGCTAGACGACCATCGCAACATTAGTCAAGCACCCGCAAATCAAATTACAATGCGCCTGCTAAAATGCGTTATCTCCTTCGGCGATATCAAATAGTGCCAGCATTCTCTTAAACATCTGAAATCGTCCATGTCTTCAAGAACTCATATCCTTCCCTTTGAAACTAAACCGCAACCTTGAACTCGCCACTTTCAACCCAACACAAGTCGAACACCTCATCAACCGAGAACCTTCTATTTAACTCAACCAAAAGAACATCACCACACGCAATATATCTTTTATATCTGTAGAAAACATCAACTCCGGGCCGTGGCCATAACCATGATGAATTCTTCGGAACTCATTAACACATAATCAAGTCATCAGAACCAATCTCTTTTAACTCAACTGAACCACACAGACTACCAATCCAAAAGTAATGCAATCCGATATGCTCGCTCTGAAGGAACCTTCTGCGACTCCGAAGTAGTTTCTTGCATCGCTCTAATGTTGTCATGTAGAATCATTCTTGATATAAAATCACCGCAAATCCAAGCACCATTCATTGCCGATCTCGAGCTCGAACCACGCACAAATCCAAAAATCCTCAAATTCTAGGTACGAACCTTGAACTCATCAGAACCTTTTCGATAGCCACCCACTTTGCTTTAAATCCCCACTACACAACCAATAGACACAGAATAAACCGCACTGTGCCCGCACCTGAATAACCAAAAGGAGCAACTAAGCGATTTCGTTTCCTTGCACTCTGCATCCGCAACACAGTGTTAAAAATAGCGTGAAGCGAGGAAAAGCGACAACCCCCATTTCACGAAAAGCGAGAAGCGAGAAGCGAAGCGCCCGCTTTTTTGAAGTGAAGCGGAATTTTTTTAAAAAAAATTAAAATAAATACGGCATAGACAACACATGTAATTGTAAGCAAATGTTCAATACTTGAATTAAAAAACTAAAGAGTAGCATCAATTAAAGTACAAAATAAGCATCATATTCTTCTACAAGATTGTCAAGAGTAGCATCAATTAAAGCACGAAATGACCATCCTATTCTTTTACAAGATTGTCAAATTCTTGTATTCCACTATCATTATTATATTGCTCATCATCTTCTTCAACTTCATCTTCTTCATCAACTAGGGACAAAGTAGCTGCCTGTTTTCCCTTCCTCTGTGAACTTGAAGTTGAGGTACTCCCCCTCAAACCATAAATCCTCTCCCCAATTTCACGCGCCTCCGCAACATCACCCCAAGTGATATCAGAAGTATCATCAAATACTTCTTCATCTGCATGATCTTCCGGGACTCCAGTTAGCCATTCATTAGCATCATCGATGTTGTCCAAACTAATTGGATCAATTACATTGCGAGCGTTGTAACGACGCCTCAATGTTCTATTGTACTTAATGAAGACTAGATCATTGAGACACTTCAAGGTTAGTTTGTTCCTCTTTTTGGTATGAATCTGCAAATAATAAGTAATTAGTAAGATTAGGACAATTGAGATATAATTTAATTATCTCAATATACTAAATCTTTCTTATTAGTTCTTACATGCTCAAACACGCTCCAATTCCTTTCACACCCGGATGAGCTACATGTTAGACTTAGAACCTTGATGGCAAACTTTTGTAAATTTGGAGTGGAATGACCATATTGCTTCCACCATTCAACTGTAGAAGTAGAACAAATTTTCAAAACATAATATTGATAAAGAAATAACTTATTAACTATAAAACAACATATAAGCACTCCCTCACCTGGTGACTTCGTCTTTCTTTGTCTAATCGCCATGTTTTTTCCAAAAAGTTGCTCAGCATTCCTATAAATACTAAATTGCTCTGTTATTTTATCTTGCACGGATTCTTCAGGTATCAACTTCTCAATACATTCGTAGTATCCATTCCACAAAGGTTCATCTCCTAGAATCCTCTTTTCATTGTCATAAAACAGTTCCGGGTTCAAAACAAGTCCAGCTGCATGCAAAGGGCTATGAAGCTTACTATCCCACCTTTTATCTATGATCTCAAAGACTCTTTTGTATTTTCTTTGATCACTAAAAGTGGCTTGAATAGCCTCCTTTGCCCTATCAATTGCTTCGTACAGGTAGCCCATTGGTGGCCTTTGCTCCCCATCCACCAAACGAATTCAAATAAAGGACTATCAATCTTCAATGCATGAACCACATTGTTCCAGAATGAAGGAGAAAGTATAATATCTGCAGATTCTGTCCCTCGAGCTTCGCTTCCATAGGCACTGTTAGTTTACTCATCTGAAACAAAGAACAACTTCAAATTGATTTTTTGCTCATACATCCTACGCAAAGTCAAGAAAGCAGTAGCAAATCTTGTCTTTGCAGGTTTCACCAAGCTTCTTTGTTTAGTGAATCTCTTCATCATGTTCAATAACAAAGGCCTTTGAACAATATAGGAGTGCACTCTAATTGCCTGATTAAAGACTGTACTGAAGGGTCTTTCCTTGAAAATGTCACCGAAGATCAAATTAATGGAATGTGTTGCACACGGAGTGCAATAGATATGCGGGTACCCAGCAGACATTAAATCACCGGCTTTAACATTTTCACCGGTGTTGTCCGTGACAACTTGAACAACATTTTTTGCTCCAATAGAGTCTATTGTACTCTTGAACAAAGAGTACATTTTGGTTGAATCAGTCGAAGAGTCGCTTGCATCAACGGACTCAAGAAACAGCTTCCCTTAGGAAAATTCACCAAGATATTGATGATCATTTTTCCATTTCTCGCCGTCCACTTATCCATCATAATGGAACAACCAAACTTGTTCCATTCTACTTTGTGTTCCTCCACAATTTTGTTCAACCTCTGCCACCTCTTTTTTTATATATGGCCCTCTAACTTCATAATAAGTTGGAGGCTTCATTCCTGGACCATATTGGCCTACGGCCTCAATAAAAGCAGCAAAAGTGTCAGTATAATTAACACAAATAAAAGGAAGACCTGCATCATACATCCACCGCGCAAACATTGTAACTGCACGATCCCTCAAAATCGCTTTGGCATCAATTTGAAGATTACCACTTTTTCCTCCCTTATCTCCAGATTTTTGCGGGAAGTAACAATCCATAGGACCTTTGGTCTTGCCAGTAGATCCACTACTAGAAGACATTGGTGGAAGCATCCTTCCCCGCTTTTGTGACGAAGCATCGTCACCTTCTTCTGTTTCATCATCATCATCATCAAGATTATAAAGTTCTTGTTCATGAATCATTTGAGTCTTTAACTCTTTTTTTTTTTGAAGGTATGCTTTCAATTCTTCCTTCACATGCCCCGGAACTTTAGGACAAGATGCGACATTTGGATCACCACCGATTAGATGCGCTTTTTGACGATAGATTCCCCCATTTGAAATCTTATCACAAAAAAAACATCTAATGGCCATCTTGTTGGTCTCGCTAACTCTTGAAGAGTAAGCCCAAGCCGGGTCTTTCCTATCTTCTTTTGGCGCCATTAAAAGAACAACTACATAACACATAAGAAAGGCAATAAGAACTAAGATTAAAGGATATAAAAAATTAAAAATTGGGGAAAAATTGGGCATAAATTTTCCGAGAAGTAAAAAAAAATTCGCCAGTATTTCGCCGCTTTTTGGACGTTTAGAAAGTGCAGAACATACCTCTTGAAAATCAGAAGAAGTCGCTGCTGCCTGTACTCTTGAAGAAGAAGAAGAACAACCCTAGTTGATGCTTTGAGATTGTTTCAGAAATCAGAAGTAGATGAAGAAGAGAAGAAGAAATCGTTGCTGTTGTTGAAGAACATCCCTAGTCTCGCTGCTGTTGAATAAGTCCAGAGTGTTTAGAAACCTCGTTTTTTAATAGGGCTTGGGTATTTTAAACAGAGAAGCGGACGCTTCTAACGCTTCTTCTCGCTTCACCGCTTCTCGCTTTTTACAGAGAAGCGGTCGCTTTTTCGTACCAGAGTCGCTTCAAAGAATTGAAGCGCTGCCCTTCACGCTTCGCCTCGCTTCTCGCTTAAAGCGAGGAAGCGAGCGCTTTTTTAATCACCGATAAAGGTTCATCTAAATATGTTCTGTCAACATCGTATTTGATTGACACTTAGTCGCTTTGAGCAAATAGTTTCTCTGCCAATAGTTATGGAGCAATATGGGTCTAAAATCTGATTTTGGCGGAGGAAAAGAAAGAGAAGAAATTCAGCATCTGTTTCAAATGAAACCATAGATGAGAATTTTGAGTACTTGAAGGTTCTATTAGAAGCCATTGGTCCCTATGTAGCAGTTCAGGATTAATGCAGCAAGAACTTCTTTTACTGAAATATACCAAGGATTAATGCCGGAAGAAGTCCTTTTATTGGGGAAGAATTGTGTGCAAAAGCTGTCTTTGGGATTCAAATGTTTGAGGGAAAGAGCGAATGATTAGTTGAAAGCTTTAAATGAGAGTGTACAGTAGTCTCTTATGAGATAACCTTGCAACTAGAATGAAAGACAAACCGAAGAGCTACTACATAAAGTTGTGATCCTTTGAAATCACTTGGTACAAAAAGCCCCCATGGCTTAGTTGAAATTGCAAAGGTTTAGGGACTTGTGACTTAGGTCACAGGTTTGAGTCCTGCGCCATGCTAGTGGAAAAGGGCAGGGGGCCGGACACATTATCCCCGAGTTCTGAAGGCTGCAATTGGTCCTAAGATGGATTTATCGGTCTCAATTTTCTTTTTTACATAATTGACCAACCAGAAGAAATATAAATGATTTTATCTTAGCGATAATTGTTTTTTGTTGATGGCATGGGAGCTGATAAACCCTAGTTGTAGTTTTTGTTCCACCTCTTGCATACTGTGGTAATAATGTTTCGCCCGTGGTGCACTTGCGGGAAACTCCTTGCCGAGGGCCCGTGTACCCCCGGGATTAGTCGGGTCTCATAGAGACTCGGACACCCGGTGCAAATCAAAAAAAAAAAATGTTTCGCCCGAAAATTCCACTTCCCATGTCTTCCCTCCAAGTGTTCTTTTCCGGCTGTGATTCGTTTAGTTTTTAGATACTTCCATCGAATTTTAGAGATCAATTGATTTCAAGTTCTTTACGTTTGGTTTAAAGAGAGAATACAAATAAAAGTGGGTAGGCTTTGTTGAAAACCTAAAATATATAAATCAATAAAATTTCACTCTCTTATAGCTTAACCTTTTAGATGAGCGATTTACTTAAATCAATAGCATACCAGTATAGGTAGAGGTCCTTGATGCAAGTTTTGCCATCAGCTATTGATAAAAAGTGTCCGTTGAACTTGAGGAAGAAGAGCATTTGGAAGTAAGTCTACAGAAGCAACCGCTGACCTTTTTTTTTTTTTTTCTGGTCGGGGGAAGTCTGATCTAGTATTCCGACATTGCTAGTTCCTTCGTGGTCTGAAGCAATCTAGTATGCTGACATTGCTACTTCCTTCATGGTCTGAAGCAATCTCTACAAGGTTTGTTTGGTTGGTTTAGTTATCTAGTTTAGCAATTTGTAGATGCACAGTGAGTCAGATCACTCGGTGATGATAAGTAACACGGCATTGAAACAAACAGTTTAAGAATTTAGGCCAGCTCAAGTATTTCTTGGGCATGGAAGTGGCTTGAGCTATTTCAGGTATGATTATCTTGTAAAAATAAAAATGTCCTTGATATCTCAGAGAAGACTAAAATAACACTATCAACCAAATACACACATCAAGAGTGGTACATCCTTCGTGAAGGGTGCTCCAGGTTAGAGATTCATATATGAGAATTAAGGAGACACTAAGGTTAACGTTTATGTTTGGAATCTCCTTTTGATAGAGATCCACCTAAAGATATCATGTTACAGTTAGAGCAAATCCGCTAAAAGTAAAATAGCATGGGGAACTCATGAAAGTGGTTTAAGGAATTGAAGTTTGAATAGACAACGTAGATGAAGTTGTCATAATCGAGCATCGATGTGTATTACTTACAGTTGTTGTGCTATGAATGAACCAAACATCGAGATTGGTACATCATTCACGGGAAAATATAATTCGGGTGCAGCTCTATTTAGTTTTATTAGTTCAAAGATGAGCTCATTAATATGTTCATCGAAGCATCCAAGGGCCGAGGGTTAATGTATATGTAGCAGGTTTGAAGATATGATTTGTATCCTCTACAGCGAGGGAAAGTGTAAGATTGTCCCAAATTTATTTTACATTAATAAGCATATTGTATATTTTATAATTTGGAAATGCAATAATTGGCATCATTCTTTTGCCCCTTCTCTATGGTCTTTCAAAGGGTAAAAGAATAAAAGAGCACCAAAGTAGGCTTTAAACGAAAGCACGAAGAAAGCATGCTTAAGCGAAAGATGGTGCAAATAAAATAAAACTAAGAGGGTGTTAGGCTAAGCTTATATGCTGGTCAAACTAGCTTATAAGCACTTTTCGGCTTATCTACGCGTTTGGTAAAGTTAAAAGTGCTTATAAGCCAAGTGCTTATAAGTCAAAAATAAGTCAAAATAAGCTGGTCATCCCAGCTTATGAATTTTTAGCTTACAAACACATTAAGTTTGACCAAATTTTTTACTATTTTATCCTTAAAACATTTCTTTTTAGAACAAACTCCTACATCGATACTCACTTCCTCAAATATTTTGTCCTATTTAGGTTTATTTTTTACTGAGAAACTTTTGTCAATTTGTTAATTATTACTCCCTCCGTTTCAATTTATGTGAACCTATTTTCTTTTTAGTCTGTGCCAAAAAGAATGACTTCTTTCCCTATTTGGAAACAATTTACCTTTATGCAATGATTTATAGCCACACAAAATATATGTGCTTCATTTTACACCACAAGTTCAAAAGTTTTCTCTCTTTTCTTAAACTCTGTGCCCNCTCTATGGTCTTTCAAAGGGTAAAAGAATAAAAGAGCACCAAAGTAGGCTTTAAACGAAAGCACGAAGAAAGCATGCTTAAGCGAAAGATGGTGCAAATAAAATAAAACTAAGAGGGTGTTAGGCTAAGCTTATATGCTGGTCAAACTAGCTTATAAGCACTTTTCGGCTTATCTACGCGTTTGGTAAAGTTAAAAGTGCTTATAAGCCAAGTGCTTATAAGTCAAAAATAAGTCAAAATAAGCTGGTCATCCCAGCTTATGAATTTTTAGCTTACAAACACATTAAGTTTGACCAAATTTTTTTACATTTTATCCTTAAAACATTTCTTTTTAGACAAACTCCTACATCGATACTCACTTCCTCAAATATTTTGTCCTATTTAGGTTATTTTTTACTGAGAAACTTTTGTCAATTTGTTAATTATTACTCCCTCCGTTTCATTATANNAAGTTCAAAAGTTTTCTCTCTTTTCTTAAACTCTGTGCCCAGTCAAATGGGTTCACATAAATTGAAACGGAGGGGGTATAACTTATGAATATATGCTTATCATAAAATAAATTATATTCATCATAAAAATTATTTTATCTAAGCACAGTTGTACTTAAAATGAAATGACAAATAGAATATTTTGTATTTGGATCAGAATCTAAAATTTTAAAGAAATTACGCCCTTATATGTGTAAACAATTCTAAGGTTATTTAAGTCATTTTAACAGAAAAAGAGCTTATCAGCACTTTTTTATCAAATATTGCAGCAAGTTATTACCAATTTCAGCACTTGTACCCAAACACGTAACTGCTTATTCATTAAATCAGTTTCAGCATTAAAAGTGTTTTTCAACACCTAATGCTTATTAGCTACTTCAAATAAGCTAATCCAAATGGGCTCTAAAAAATGTGTAATTTCATAAAAAGTAACTAGACACGGACAACAGTTATATATCAAAGTGAAAGACTACAATAAATGAAATGTATATAAGATGAAGTAAAAAAATTGTATCTTTGCATCTAATTCAATTTTTTTTATTGGGAATCGGATATAAACTCAACCATTAAGGGGTTGTTTGCTAAGTTGCTCGGACACAGGTGCGGGTGTCCGACACGGGTGCGGATCTAGAGGTCGGATCCTTCGAAAAGTAAATTCTAAGATTCGGGGATACAGATCCTAGTACGGATACGGGTGCGGGGATACGGCTAAAAATAGTTCAAAAAAATAAAAATATAAAAATATCTCTAAATTATGAGAAATTTTGTGGAATACTTATGCATAGCTTGTAAAGTGTGGATTTCTTTTTTATTCTCAAGTTGTAGATAAGTAAAGTATTGATTTCGTAGATAAGGTATGCTATTTTCTTCAAATTTACTCTAGTTTTGGTTCTGATTTCGAGAATCACATTGTATCTCGTCTCGAATTTTTTCGTCTGTCGTGGTCAAAGTACCCAAAATTGTTTGACCAGATCCGATACGGATCCCATACCCACACCTAGACTAGTGTCGTGTCGACACGGGTGTTGCACCTAAACTGCCGTGTCGGAGCAACTTAGGTCGTTTGTTTGGCTGTATATAGGGGTGGGGTGGATGAAATGGAGGCTAGCGTCTGGTGTCTTGTGTGACAGGAAGGTGCCTCCGAAACTTAAAGGTAAGTTTTATAAAGCGGTGGTTAGACCGGTCAATAACCAAGCTGGGACTGGGACTGGGACTCATAATAAAATATATACTCCCTCCGTTCCAATTTATGTGAACCTGTTTGACTGGGCACGGAGTTTAAGAAAAAAATGAAGACTTTTGGAATTTGTGGTCCTAAACAAGTCCAAATGGGGCCCAGAGTATTTATGTGGTTATAAAAGCTTCTCATTAAGGGTAGAGTTGTAAGTTTAAGCTAAATTGTTACCAAACTTAGAAAGGGTTCATTCTTTTTGGAACAGACCAAAAAGGAAATAGGTTCACATAAACTGGAATAGAGGGAGTAGACGATTAAATGTTCAAAATAATAAACCTAAATCATACGAAAGGAAACATATTTAATACATTATAGTTTGCTACTCATAATCGCTACAATACCTTGTGTCTTGCTACTGAATATGCTGAAAATAATTTAGTTTCAATAGGAGTAGCATAATAGGTTTGGGAACTAGGATTCTGAGTTTAATTACTTGTTGACTTGTAACTCTTTTCATAATTTCAAGACCCAAGGAAAAAATTAATGCTTTATTATTTTTAAACTTAATATATAAATATATTTTTCACATGTAAATTTATTCGGTACGGCTCTGTATTTTTTTGGTTTATTTTCATAAAATAAAAATCTACCCTAATTATCGGTATGATTCTAGATTTATATAAAAAACTAAGGTTTTATTAAAAGAAACCTATAAAATCGGTTCGGTCACATTAATCGGTTCTTAAATATTCATTGACGCCCCTAGTGGGCGTGGCTCCCATGGAAGACAAGATGCGGGAAACTAGGCTTAGATGGTTCTAGCACGTTCGGAGGAGAAGCATGGATGCCCTGATAAGGAGGTGTGAACGACTGACTTTGACGGGTATGAGAAAAGGTAGAGGGCGGCCAAAGAAATATTGGGGAGGTGTGATCAGGCAGGATCTGGTGCGACTTCAGCTTTCCGAGTACATGGCCCTTGATAGGAAGTTGTGGAGGTCGAGCATTAAGGTTCTAGGTTAGGAGATAAGGTTAGGAGATAAGAGACTAGCCTGATAGTGTTTTGTCTTAGGCGGCTAATGGAGACTAGCCTGATAGTGTTTTGTCTTAGGCGGCTAATGACTTCAGTTGTGTCAATATTACTTCTTTAGGGTTGCAGGTTAGGTACGGCTGTTTATCAGGCGGATTGGGCGGTTATTTACTCTTAAGGGTTTGGCTTATCGGTTATCGGCTTTTAAATGTATTAATCCGCTAGCCACCCGATAAGATATCGGGCGGATTGATATTGGTTTAGCTCTTATCGGACGGTTATCGGGCGGTTTATCCGCCTAATTCAATCAAAATAAAATAAAATTTAGTCTCTGTATGTTTAAATAGGTGGTTGACGTACTAAGAGGGACGAAGCAGAAGAGACACCGTGATGGGTAAATCATATGTCTAGAATCTTATTTATGTTTATGCACATTGGCCTTAGTCCGTGTGAAAGATTTCCAATTGGCCGTTGTTAAAACAAATGTTCGTCATGCTTTGAATTCTAGGATGCCTTAAAACCCAGACAAAGTTGATGAAGCAGTGGTGTAACTGGTGTCGTAATCTTTTTCAGACAACAAATTCTTTCTTTGTCATAGTTAGATGACTCCTTTTATTTGGCTTTCTTTTATTCTAATTCACTTTGATAGAGTACTAGAGGAAGAAGGGATTTTTATTATTTAATATATACATGGATAAAAATAAATTATATATATATATATATATATATATATATATATATATATATATATATATATATATATATATTCTTAACGGGTTAACGGATTATCCGTTAAGAAAATTGAATAATCCGCCCCTAAACCGATAAGCCGTTAATAAAAAAATTTCAATCTGTTCCCCTCCCGTTAAACGTTAACCCGATACCAATAAGCCATTAAGCTTCAGTTTCGGTTCGGTTTTTGGTTTCGGTTCGGTTTTGAACACCCCTAAGATTAGGTCGTCGGAGGCTAGTCTGATAGTGTATTGTCTTAGGATGCTAGTGGCTCTTGTTGTATCCATATTATTCCATTGTGTTTGTAGTACCGTGCTGTTGCTACTACTTACTGTTATTGCTTCTCTCTTTATTTTTTGGTTTTTACGTTGCTGGTGTTATCTTTCTTGCTTCTTTTGCTATTACCGCTCCACTGTCTCTTTTCATCTTCTTGAGCCGAGGGTCTATCGGAAATAGCCTCTTCACTCCTCCGGAGTAGGGGTAAGGTCTGCGTGCACACTACCCTCCCCAGACCCCACTTGTGGGATTCCACTGGGTTGTTGTTGTTGTTATGCGATATGTATTATTTTATACATGATAGAATGTGTAATAAGAATATGCGAATTAGTAATACAGAAAATTATTTAAAGATAACAATGCCCTTAAAGTAAGTAATTCTTGCATAATTAACAGACTTTCATTCTTTACCTGTAAGGTCTGCGTACAGCTACCCTCCACGGACCCCACTTGTAGAATTCTACTGGCCTGTTGTTTGTTGTAAATAAAAGACCTTTCATTATTAACCACCGCATAATAATTCCTTCATTTGTTAATCATCGCATAACAGTCCTTTCATTTAGCATTGAATAAACATGCATTATAATCCCAAATTACTAGCATGTTAGCCAAATGGCTCCTAATGGTATAATTTTGGGGACTGAGTGACAATTTAAGCCATATTGTTGCAATCTATTCCTTATTTTGGCAACAATCTGCTGAGAGGCTGTTGCGTATAGAGTCTTTTGCTGTTGATAGATACTATTTCTCTTAAACTTATAACAACAAACATTTATAAGAAGTTGCTTTAATTTGATTTTTGCTTAAAGGTAATACTCAAATGGAAGTAAAACACCATCATGCCTCAACATGTGCTGCTCCAATGGTGTTCTTAGTTTCGTACATCTTAAATTGATGTTAGCCTTTTCTTATTTTCAGTGGCTCAACTTACAACGAAAATAAAGCACCTATCGTCAGTTCTGCACAAAAAGGTGAGTTTTCTGCTGAATTGTGCCCAATTGAGTATCTTTGGTAAGAATACAGGTCATGAAATTTCAATTCATAACACATTCTTGTTCATTGTCATATGGTACGCATGATTGCTGTTCTTGAAATGCCAAATCAGATGTAAAGAAGAAAGAATGGACGATACATCTACCTGCGAGAACTTTTATCATACATGTGCATTAAGTGTTTCAGATATATTATATCATCATTATAGAGCTTTATTGCTTAGATATGTGCTAAGCTGGCTGTTTATAACTTGATGCTTGATAATAAAATGTTTTAGGATAAGCACTCTCGTAAGGGTCTACAAGCAATGGTTCAAAAGAGGAAGAAGTTGTTGAAGTATCTCCGAAGGACAGATTGGGACTCCTACTGCCTCGTTCTCTCTAAGCTTGGCCTTCGTGACAACCCAGATTACAAGTTCTAGACCAGCCTGTATGACATCGTTTTTCATTGTGGAAATGCAAGTTTTACTTTGACAGATTGCTCGAAGTCCTTATCTTACCAGGATCTTTCTTCTTGTTTTAGGGAAAGAGACGGCGAGGGTGATGGACTTTTGTTGTTGGTTGACTCCCTCCCAAGGGAAGCTCATAACTGGATCTTTAGTATTTGTAATCCATTGTCTTTGAAAGGAGAGCCATTTGTAGGAATTCAAGGGTTACTTGCACCATGTTTTTTAATGGCGGTGTCCGGAATAGCCACCTCCTTATCTGGTTGGTGTTACTACGTGTTGTGTCTGCGTCTTTTACTTTTGTCTTGAGCCGGGTGTCTAACGGAAACAACCTCTCTACCTTCACAAGGTAGGGGTAAGGTCTGCGTACACCCTACCCTTCCTAGACCCCACTTTGTAGGATTATACTGGATTTGATGTTGATGTTGTTTTGTCCGGAATAGCCAAACTTCATCTACTTGAGCTCATGGCAATTTTACCTTCTGATAATTAATTTGAGTTAATTCATCTAGATTGACAAATTGACTCAGTAACTGGTCTTCAAGGACCACTGAATTTTATTTCTTGTTTTATTTCAACGACTTTCCGTGCATTTTTACCTTCTGAATCTTTTTCTATCATGATGACAGATTATACGGTGGGAAAATGATATTGTATAGACGCTCTCAAAATAATAGCCGAAAGTTTGTATAGATATACATTTTGTATCTTATATATAAGAATTATAAAATTCTATATATTTTTTCTATTATTGAATTCTATTATTGAATATAAATAATTTTTGGGAGTTAATTCTACATGAGTTAAAGGTGCTTCGCACTAGCTTCCAATATCTTTGCTTCCCCTATAATCACTAGTATGAAATCAGTCAACTCGTCTATATTGAAGATTTTTAAAAAAACTAATATACACGATGGTTCCGGTATACAAGAACAAGGGTGATATCCAGAATTGAAATAATTATCGGGGTATCAAGCTGCCTAGCCATACTATGGAAGTCTGGGAGAGAGTGGTAGAGCTAAGGGTGAGGAGGAATGTGTCTATTCCGAGCACCAGTTTGGGTTTATGCCTGGGCGTTCGACAACAGAAGCGATCACCTTGTTAGGGGATTGATGGAGTAGTATAGGGAGAGAAAGAAGGACTTGTATATGGTATTCACCAACTCAGAAAAGGCGTACGATAAAGTTCCGAGAGAGTGTTTGTGGAGATGTTTGGAGGCTAGTGGTGTACCTGTTGCATACGTTAGGTTGATTAGGGACATGTATGATGGAGCATAGAACCGAGTGAGGACGGTGGGTGGGGACTCGGACCATTTTCCGGTCATGATGGGGTTGCATTAGGGGTCGACACTTGATGTTCGGCCAAAAATACATATTTTTACCCATTGTTATCTCACATTATAGCACTTTTTAATCGTCATTTGAGTATTAATTATATTATTATGTGCTTAATATTATATTTCAGCTATGTAGGAATAAAGCGGTGTGAAGATCAAGGGATTTAGAGCAAAATTGAATAAAACACGGAAGAAAAAAAAGATATAATAATACAAAGGAGGGGGGCACCATTTGGTGTTTGTCCCCCAAGTGGAGACAACAAAAAATTGAGTTTTATTATTCAAAAGAAGAAAGAGCAAAAAGTGATTTCAACATGAAAAGCCATTGCCTTCAGCGCCAGGATCGGCACCTAGCGCTGGCCTGGACGCTGTGTTGCGGGTTTTTTTCTATTTCGCTCGGGATAAGGTTATTTTAGCCCTACACAGTTCCAACTCATATAAAAGGGGTTCTAAACCTAATTTGGAGGAGAGCTAACATACTTTGAAGGAGGATTCACGTGGGGCAACACAAACCACGCTTGGAGGAGGCTTCTAACTAGTTTTTCTTCTCTTCGCTTTCTTTAGTTTCATAGTTTATTAGTTCTAGAGTTTTGGGTGCTAGATGAACGTTGTAGTTTGAAGCTTGAATTATTCTTATTATTTTATCATATTGGTTTATTTATTCAATCTTGCGCTTAATTATTTTATTGCTTGATCACCAATTGAATACTATATACGAATCTAGGATTGAACTCGGAAGAGGGAATTCTAGATTGCATATAAGATTGAGTAGAGCAAGATCTTAACTCTGAGGGGGACGGATTTGCGGCTAGGATAGGAATATATACCTAATCGCCTTGCTTGATTAATATACGGGAATTATAAATGCGTTCTTGTTAATCCTAATTCCATAGGAATATAGGCGTTAGGTTAGCTTGAATAGGCGAGTTGTACTTCGGGAGAAGGCTACGAGCAATATTAACCCTGTCAACCAATAAACCAGATAAATTAATTAGACGATTTAAGTGAAAAACTCAACGGGATTGTAGCTAACCCATAAGTCTAGAATATTCACCCACATTGAATTCGTCGTTAAGCTTGTCGTTGTTTTCTTTAATCTCTTAATTTGTTACTATAGATTAATTTTAGTTAAATATTCATACTTTAGAATGCGCTTGAATAGATTAATTGTTTGGTTTAATTTAGTTGATAGTTAATCACAAGTCCCTGTGAGTACGATATCTGAACTTACAATCCTATATTACTTGTCGACCACGTATACTTGCGCGAGCGTTTGGGAGCAACAAGTTTTTGGCGCCGTTGCCGGGGACTTAGAAATTAACTATTCTTTTAGATTAGATTTTTACTTTTCGTCTACTCAAGTTTTTTTTTATTTTTATCTTAGTTTAATACTTTACTATCTTTGTTGATATGGCATCTTAGAATGATAATTGGTCGAATATTGTTTATTCTTATTTTGGTGATCCATGTCCGTATTGTGGGGGACCACACTTGTGGCAAAATTGTGAATCTCAATCATATGGATGGAATTTTTATAATGTGTGTGGTTGTCGAGGTGGTCATTGGGATGGTTGTCCTAATTCTTATTATCCTTCTCAGAACTCTTATTATGATGTTTCTAATAATATTTGTGAGTTTGATAGGGGTAATGAAGTGCAGGATATGAAACTTGATGCATATATTAGGGATATTCTGAGGCAAGTAGCCGAGCAACAAGATGAAAATCGAAAGGATATACAAAGAATTAGTGCAGCAATCATGAGAATGAAGGCCGAGGCGTAGGAAGTGGCTGAAGAGAGCGAGTTCCCACCAGAAAATAATTTAGAAGAAGCAGATATAGTGAGCTAATCTTGGCTAGAGGAACAAGCTCAACTGATAAAATCTCATGAGTTTCTCCGTGATGGTCTTTCAAATATGACAGAATAGCTGATAGACGAAAGAACTGAGCTCAGGCAAGAGATAAACCAATTTGGCTTAGATATCCATGACCTGATCAATTGAATAAAAAGGTTGAGGCATCTGATGCCCTACAACCAATTTTTGTGGATACTGGCCAGATTGTGGAGCGGAAAGAGGAACTTCAACTATTCGACCAAAATATTATTAATGATGCCAAGGTTGACGAAGAGTGCAAAATTGAGGATGTCAAAAATAATACAATTTTGGAGTTGGAGCGTATTGGACCTCATTCTAAATAATTTTCAACATTGTGTTTGGTTGGTGACATGGGAATTGTTCCAATCGAGCATATGGAGGAGTCAATGGATGAGGAACAAAGTGTTTATATTCTGAAATTTGCCACACCATGAAGACAAAACAACATTCCTCACTTAAAGGCCAAGAAGTGCAAGATGCGATACCTATTACTTGGTTTCTTTATTTTTACACCACCACCTCATGAACATGACAGAAAAATTGATGCCAATTTGGGGGCACAATTCATATCCTCAAAGCGGAAGGAAAAGTTGTGAAAGTGATGGCGTCGTGCCGCGATGTTAAATTAGGCGCTTGTTGGTTGGCAACCCATCTTTACTGTTTTCTTTTATTTTTTGTTCTTTTTCTTATTATTGTTGTAGTATTTGTTTTTGTTTTGTAGAATTATAAGAATAGGAAGCGCAGCCATTGGAAGAGTGCAAAAGCGAGTTAGATGGTGAGAACTAAGTGTGGGTGCCACACAAGGGATCATACCTGGGAGAAGTCTGAGTAACCCGTGAGCTGCTAATTCTTCGGCCTTCGGCCTTCCAGGGAGTCTCTTTTACCCTCTTGTAATTTTCAGTGTGCATTGAGGACATTGCACAATTTTAAGTGTGGGGTGAAGAGATTGTCTGGGTGATTTTCTCTGCTATCTTAGCTTAGTTGTAGTACTCGTTCTTAGTGTAGTAGTTTTTGTTAAAAAAAAAATGAAAAAAGAAAAAAATTTAGAAAATTGGGACTTTTTCCGATGATGGATTTTGTGGACAGGTTTCTTGAGGGATTAAGGTCCAATAAAAAAAATCAAAAATATTTTATTTTTGTTTCTAGTTAGTTTTAGTTAGATAATAATACCCCTTGGTTTTTCTATGTGCATCGGTTCTTTTCCAGGGGATGTAACTTGAACCGGGTAAACTTTTTTATTTTTAGGATTATATTTTTTTCAGAAAAGGCCTAAAAATGCCACTCACCTTTCAGAAATGGTCTATCCATGCCATCCGTTAAAAAAAATGCTCATTTCATGCCACTGCCATTAAAGAAATGACCCATCCATGCCATTATTGACTAACGACAGTGTCATGGATGGGCCAAATAAAAATTGAGCCGTTAGTCAATAATGGCATGGATGGGCCATTTCTTTAACGGCAGTGGCATGGAAATAGCAATTTTTTAACGGATAGCATGGATAAACCATTTCTGAAAGTTGAGTGGCATTTTTAGGTCTTTTCCGTATTTTTTTGAGTAGTAAAAAGAGGGAGAAGAAAAAAACTTTCGTTACTTGTTTGATACTAGCATATTTAGGCCTGAGCTTGAGTAGTACTTTCCTTTGAGTGCTTGAGTAATGAATAAATAGCAGACTTTCTGACACCTAAGCTTAGGGATGTGACTCTGTATATACCTTATACTTATTTTGTAGCTCGCTATGATCCTGTCTGTCTTAGAGTAGAATTGATCCATCTTGATTGAGACTTGTGCCATGTGTGGTGAGGATTTCTTACATATATTCCATGTTTTGCATCTTAGTCTAGAACTTGTCCTGCATGTTATTGAAGCGAAATAAAAGTATTGCTTTGTTTAGAAGATAATAATAGGCTTTCTTTGATATGTCTTGTGAATTTTAGCCTTTTCAGATATTGTACTACTAGATAGCCCTTTGAGCCTGTAGCCTTTTGTTTGGAAGCCGTATTTTTGCCTTTATCCTTTTGTTTGAATCCCTAATTTTTGCACCCTGCTTCCTTGAGCACTGTTGCTTAGACTGTGATATTAATAGATAAATTTGAAAAATGGGATGGTTAAGTAAAAAATGGTGACCAATGATAGCTGAAAGGTGATGAAAAGGCCTTTTTGAAAAGAATGTGCCATGAAAAAGAAAGAAAAAAGAGAATGAAAAATAATTGTTTTGAAAAAAATAAAACGTTCTTGATGTGAGGAAAATACTTGTGAAACAATAGATGAAGAGAGGACTGAAAAATAAAAGTGAAGAGTAAAAAATAATGGGTGATGAAGTCTAAAAGTGCAAAGTGCTTAGGGAAGT